GGATGAGGGTCTGGATCAGTTAGATATCAAGTAGGTAAAGTGTTTTGATGATTGAAACTTGAAATGCACGAGCCAAATGATGGATTACTATGCTTATGCAAAAAACTGCAAGTTTTGACAGTTTTGTGGTGAAAGTGAGTTTGGGAGTGTTTCAAGCCTCTAGCAATCGTGTTTTCTGTTGTAATGTGTTTGTATATTAGTATGGAAAGGGTTTCAAGTCAGCTCTTCCACAGGTTTTTTAATCCTAGCCTTTTTGCACACTTTCTTGCTTTTGAAGCAAAGTGAAGGGACAAGGCTTTACATGCTTGTACTGGCTTGCTTAGGATTGGTATATGCTTTGTACAATTTGCTTTATACCTGTAAGACACGTATGTACAATGGAGACAAGTTCAATGCTCAAGAATTGAAAAATTGCAAAAGTGAACCTTTTTCAAAATGGCAATGGCCACTTTATGCCATTTATGGAATTACAACTTGGACAATGGCTCTAGGGTTTGGATTAAAGCTTTTTCAACTAAGTAAGCATTAAATTAAGGAGTAAGAAACAAATTTGGGACCTGTAAAGCATGGATTAGACAACATAGGTACTAATTTGAAATTTGTTCTTCATGAAATGGCTTGAATCAAAAGTGAGAAATTGCCAACTTCATCTCTTTGATTCTCCCTACTCAAAAATGATATTGAGGAGTTCTTGGATATTTTGGAAAGCTTGAAATGTTATTTATAACTCATCTTTGAATGAATTTCAAGATTCCTCTTGGAACTAGGTGAAAAATTACCATGAAGTTGGCTCCAAAACCTGCCTAAATTAGGGCAAAATTTTACTAAGTTATTTAGTTCATGAGCATGTATTCACAAAATTATATCTTGAGATCCAAGCATATTTATGGAAAAGTGTGTGAAGAAAAGTTGTAGATTTCATGGAGGTCTACAACTTTCATGTTGGGAACTTCCTTTGAAACATCTTGTATCATGGTGAAAAAATGGCCTAAAGTTGAGAAAAAATAAGAAAGTTTTTATACTTAGAAAAATTTCTAAGTTAAGAAAATTTCCTATTTTAAACCCTAATCTTCAATCTTTAATTTCTTTATGAACAAGTTTCACATTTTGACATGTTTTGATGAATTATGATCCTTGGCACTTGATTTTGACCAAAATGTCAAAATTTGACTTTTTAGTGTACAATTGATTTTTGATCAGCTGACTGCAAATTTCATTTGTCTATCCAATGGATTTGCAATATTTTGAACCATGTTCTTAGGTCAAGATGATACAAATGAACCCCTGAAATCATGCTTCAAATCAATTGGTCATTTGCTAGGTTAAAAATCAGAAATTCCCCTTCCTCAGTCAAAACCCTAATTTTGACCATTTTGCCCTTTTGATGATTTGATCAAATTTCTTGAGGAATTGTGATCCAAACTTGATCAAATGATAAATATGAGTCTAAAATGTTGATGTGGATAAAAAATTATGAAGTTTGACTTTAAATTGGCTATGGTTGACTTTTTTCCCAATACAGTTGATTTTTAGGTCATCTGTCCAATTGACTGATCAAAAATGTGGTTCAAGGCTTGAAACTTGTCATGAGTAATCTTAGGGGTTCATAATGATGTTTGAAAGTCATATAAAGCATTGATAGTCCAAAAATCCTTGTGCAAACTCAAACCTTAATTTTGGGTTATCAGTGCAAGATGAGATGTCTTGAGCTGACCAAACCCTAATCCAGTCTCGGGTCAAAGAGATCTTGTGAGAAAAGTCTTGATAAGTGAGAGGGTAAATTTTGGGATACAACACATTACATAAAAGAATACTCGTTTTACATACGAGAGAATGAGATGATAAAATAAGTTACATAGAGAGATTAAGAGAAAGGCACGACACACAAGTCGTATTTTAAAATCCCAAAAACAAAATAAAGGAATCTAAGGTCATAACCGATCACCCCAAGACAACAACAATAAACACTTTATTATTATTATTATTATTAATTAAAAATTTGTTAATTAAATAAGTCAAGTTGAATTTCGGCGATTGATCACACTACGCAGAGTTAGCCGGGGGTCAAGGGGGCAGCGCCTCCTTGCGGGGTTGTTAGGGGCAGCACCTCGACGCAAAATTTTAATGAACAATTCATTTGAAATCAGCGTCATTTTTCACATAACTCTTGTGTTGTTACAACCCTAATCCACATAACTCTCTTACAGCACAACCCTTGTGTCGTCATGAACCCTAATACAAATAATTTCATACCGTCAAATATAACTCAATTGATAATTCAGTATGATCGATCAATATACCATTGCTTCACCATACTAACATCGGATTCCGAAGCGAATGACCAACGATCTTTCAAAAGAATAACAATCATTCTATGATTGAATGGAAGAAATCAAAACAGTATATCCAATATACCATCTTTGCACCATAATTGTTTATATCATATATAAATTTGATCGATCATATTAGTGTAACTTATGGATGATCGATGTATCACTGTTTCACCATACTAGTGTCGGAAAATTAAAATTTTCCTTTAGTGATCCTTACGAATGGGCATGGTCAGTCATAGAAATCATTACCTCTTGTGATGATTCAAAACTTTGATGTTGTGATCACGAACATTGATGAATAGCAACGTCTCTACTCAGTCCACACGAACAGATCACTTCCGGACACAGTGCTAGCTGCTTACAACCGGAAACTTTGAGCGAGAGAATGAGACAAAATATACGGCTAGAAATCAAGACCGAATTTTCATCAAGTCAAATGCTTTAGCACAAGGGTTCTATTTATAGAACCACTTATGTGGATTGCAAGCTAAAAGCCCAATTAAGGCTGCAAGCTAAAAGCCCAATTAAGCATACGAGTATCATACCTTATGATATACTGCATATCACTTAAGCACTTGGTACCTTACCGCATTCCATATTTCACTTAAGTGCACTGTACCTTACATTGTTCCTTATTTACTCTATCTCTCATCAACCTGTCCTTATGTGTGTGACCCTGTAGATTTTTATGACGTTGCCAATTATATTAAATTACACATTTAACATAATAAACAGTGAGCGGTATCTAGCAACACATCACTGCTACCCAAGTCACGAAAATGTCATGTGATCTGACAAAACTTTTCGGTGATGATATTTGTGTGTATAATTACCCTTTTGCCCTTATATCTATATTGAACACAAGGCATAAACCGTGTCACCCTTGTCTAGTTCAATATTGGGCTCTTAGATATTTATCTTGTTATGCAGGATGAACAAATTCCATCCAGGTCACTCATGTCCCTCAGCATGCTTTGTGAAGTACTCATCAACTGTCTTTATGGTCATCCAGTTACGGATAATGTTTGATCAACAATAAAGTACTTAACTCCACATCTAAGGTCCATAGTAGTTTCAGTTCGAAGGGTGGTATACACCATTATCACCATGAGAATAACTTATGACACCTTGCATAACATTCTATGTAGTATTCTCATAGCAGGTCAATCTAGTATAAATATTACTCGTAATATTCATACCTATGTCAAGACTCGATAACTCCTTATCCATGATCCATGAGGTGTGATCATTAGTCTATCTTCATAATAATCTCAATGCTTTAATGTTATCTCACTTTGCAATAAAGCTCGACTGCGGATATTTTAAGAATAGTGTTCTTATGTTTAATGAGATCTCATGATTAAGTCACACTTAATATTTCATTAAACAAACAATCTATTCTAGGGACTCTATCATTTTGGAAAAGCAAACATAATAAAGAAATGTCTTTTATTATTAATAAATAATTCGATACAAGTACCCAAAGTATTGACCTCTAGGGCTTACACCAACACTGACCACCATTAGTTTTCTTTCTAGCTTCTGACCAAGTCTGCTTCTGATACTTCTTATCAGAAGTTGCTTTCAGAACCTGTTGCTCTACCTCTCTCTCAGAAGTTCTCTCAGTCATATGCAACTCATGCGCCTCTAAACTACTTTGCAACTCTTCAACTCTCATGGTGCTCAGATCTTTGGAATGGTCAATTGCTACCACAATGTAATCAAACTGAGAAGTTAAAGATCTCAATACCTTTTCTATGATTACGTATTCAGAAAGGGTTTCTCCATAAGCTTTCATCTCGTTGGTGATCAGAATCACTCTAGAGATGTACTCAAAAACCTCCTCGTTGTTCTTCATGTTGAGATTCTCATATTGCTTTCTTAGGGACTGAAGCTTCACCTTCTTCACTGATGCGTCACCACCGTAACATCTGACCAGTGTGTCCGACACATCCTTTGTTGTTTCAGAGTCAACAATCTTCTCAAACACATTTGCATCTACACAATGATGGATGTAGAACAATGCTTTATGATCTTTCTTCCTTATCGCCTTCTGCGTTGTCTTCTGTCCCTTCGTCGCGTCTGCTGCTAATGAAGCATAGCCATCGGTGACAAGATCTAACTCATCTTGAGAACCGAACAACACACGCACCTGGATCTTCCAACGATTCTAATTTTTACCATCAAACACTGAAAGCTTGAAACTGATATCGTTGTTTTCGTTCATCTTCAACCCTGTGCAGTTCATTCAAAAACTCACTAACACACAATGTTTTCCAAATCTCACAGAATCAGAAAAATATGATTCTCAATCACACAACGCCTCACTGTTCACTCGTGTTTCCCGTGGATTTCGAACCAAAACTCTGATATCAATTATTGATACACATAGGAGAGATGAAAGACAAAAAAAATATATTAAATAATGACTACAAAATAAGGAATAATACATTGACCTATCTATTATTAGGCTATTTATACGAGTATAATAAAATAGTAAAAAAATCCTCTGATAAACTTAATTAACAAGACATTCTTAAAATATAAATTATTTTGATCATAATCATGAATAATAAATTAATAATGAGTAGCGATAATCATGAATGTCCATTAATAATAATCCTTTGATGAAGACGATCCAATAGAGTTGAAATCTGGGAGAGAAAGATGGGGTTATCAGCGTCAAAACGAGTGAACAACAGTTTACAGAACTCGACTCAATTTGACTCAGCCTGCAACTCAGTCTTCTTGCAATCTCTTTCTCTAACACAGCACGCTTTCGAAGGAGTCTTACCTTACCAGCTCAAAACCGCTTCCGATCAAATCCACACCATCCTCTCCTACTCTCACTATCCACTCATCCACAAATGGCTCCCATCCCCTCCCGATCGCACTCAAGTTGACTCCGCCCTCCGCCATGTCCTACCGCCCGATCACCACCATGAAAATGTTCTCCGACTCCCACTCTTCAAGGAATGGGCTCGATACCTCTACACCGACGCCGTTGTGTCCTCCGCCACCAAAGCGCTTATCCGTCGAGTTCCCGTCGGTGTTGCCGGAATCGTTGGAATCAGTGCCGTCGCTCGCCCTGGTCCTGGTCCGGCACTGCTTGGGACCTTCGTTGGGGCCTACTCCCTCGGTGTTGCTCTCTTTATTTTTCTAGGTTTATCCGCATGATTCTATTCTAATTCTAATATTATTAATTTAAAATTTAACATATTTCGCTTATTCATGTAACATTTTAATCTCTAATTATTAGTAATCATATGTTTACTTATTGAGTGATGATGATGATGATTAGTGGTTTGTATATAAATTTTTTAAGATAGTTTAGAATTTGAACATGTTTTGGATGTATCATCCTCTGTGATGTGTTGCATAAGAATTAGAATGGGTGAACTTGGAGTTGCAAATGTTGTATCCTATAACTCTTTTCTTTGTCGAGTTCATATATGGAATGGGCCAAATGTTGTATATCCTCTATGCTAGTTTTTCTATGGATAGTCGATCACAAGCTCGGATAAAAGGAGAGGGTTGTATTAGGCCGTCACCGGTCAACGTAAAACTTTATCGAATCTCTATGGCATGGATCAACTACAAAATGATGTGAATGCTAGGTCGTTAGAAGTATGGTTCTAAATAGAACATTATGGCGAAAGTTGATCCATGTAGTCTAACCCACTTTGTGGGATATTTGGTAACAAAAAAACTTGATACAAACATGGTATTTTATTTGGCAGAAAGTAACAAACCCTAAAAAAAACTTTTTTTAGGGTTTGTTCCCTTCGGTCAAATATACCAAAAACTCATCCTCCTCATCTTGTTCGTTTGACTATGAATAACTTTTGACTAACCAAAGTGGGGTACTCCTAACATATATATGTAGGGGATATGGATCTCACTAAAGTGGGGTACTCCTAACATATATGTAGGGGATATGGATCTCAAAGTCAAACTAAAGTGGGGTACTCCTAACATATATGTAGGGGATCTGGATCTCAAAGTCAAAGGTATGTGTCAATTGGGAAAATAGTTGCCTAATTAAGGCATGAAATGAATATTTTGGAGGTTTTTTCCTTGTAAGTTTTTTCCTTTCCATATCTTGCAACCAGATTCCAAAGTCAAATCATTCCGCAACATCACAAGCAGAAAACAAGCTTCTAGCTGTTGGAACAATCAATGATGTTAAAATAATGTCAATGTGCTTATTAAATTATGATGCAGATTGTGGGGTCAACCTAGCTTTTTATTCTTGGATTATGTCATGCCATTGCTCTTCCTTCTTTCTACATTCTGAAAATGAGAAGTTTAATGGAGGCAGTTCCGCAGATGAATTGAACAATACATGTCATGCACTCATGCTAGACATTCATTGTTTAGCTGTTTGCTCTGAGCAGAAACAACAGACTCCTCCTGGTAGAAGAAGCACTTCTGGCACAGACACTGGAATCCTATTGAGATGCTGCGATTGAGATGGAACTTGATCAATGGTAATTTTGAGTATGTTTTCTCTGTTTCTTCTCACACCATGCTTGAATTCAGTTATTTTGCAAAACACTGCAGTTTGATATTAGCTAGGCTTTTTTCATTTTTTTAGTTAAGATTGTAACATTATCATCCAAATTATACTTAATATTTTCCTCTTTTGCTTGTTTTTATGATGAGAATCCGATTCTGACTATAATACCTATAAAAGCCATGGTTTTCATTAAGAAATAAATTGAACTTATGAGTATTTTCTGAAAAGCAATAACAATAATCAAATTAATATATGGTATCATTTTAATATATTGTAAAAGGAGAAATTGAATTGTGTATACATGATATCATTTATTCATACTGCGTATAGAATCATCAAATCAAATCAAAAACTGTACTATATAATCTATATGTGTTGTATTGCTAGCTAGCTTAGCAAGTAAGATTATCACCAGGAGCAACACCCAATTGACTACAATATTGAGTGTAGTAACCAACACGAGCCTTAACCGTGTTAGGGTTTGCACCATCACATTCAAGTTTACCATTAATGGCTCTAATGGTTGCACCAAACCCCTGGTTAACAACACGGTGAACATATTTCATCCAATACCATAAACCTGTCTTGAAGGACACTAGAGGATCATTAGCCACTGTTTCAGGAGAGTTCAATCCATCAAAACCATTGTCCTTTCCTGCCGGTCCATAGTTGAAGTTCCAAGATAATTGAATTGGTCCACGACCGTAGTATCCTTTGTTAGGGACACAAGGGTACTCTGTGTTGCTTTCATCGCAGTAGTCCTTTGATGCACCGTCAATCTCTTCTATATAGCAAAAATCTGCGTCAACATTTCACATATGTTATGTGTGTTCATAAACATTACTCAAGAAAAAAGAGATTATCTGTGATTAAGATTTAAGAAAGATGAAATTTATTGAATACTTACGTCCAGTTTCGTGTGTGAAATGTGCAAAAGCAGCTGCAACCTCGCGTTTGGAGTCATCGGAAGAACCAGCCCTACCAAACTGGTTATAAGAATCGAGAGCATCAAGAAAAGCAGCTCTGGAGTAAAAGCTCTTTCCTGCACAACTAGAATCAGCTTGATCAATTATACCATTGAAAAACTCTGGTGTGACAATGTCAGCAACATTAACATCATTGCTGGGACTAGGAGTACTAGGTGGAATATTTCCTCCCTTACAAGGACCCTCTTGGCACCCTGTGCCACAATATGTATCAGTGTTTCCACAATAACCATATTGGCTGCAACACACCCCTTCAGCACACCCACAATTTTGAGCACTCACATTTGTTGGTACTATAATCATAATAAAAAAGGCAATAGCAAGTGTTGCTATTGATATGTTTAAGGACTTATTTTTCGTCATCTTGAGAGGTATTGGAGTGAATTTGAGTTATTTAATCAGCTGGTGGAGGGGGGGTGTATTTATAGTGATGAGTAGGTGTTAGTGGTTGAGAATTTGTGATGAAGAAATGCTACGTACTAATTAGTTATGTGGTTGGCGTTTGAGTTTGAACATTTCAAAGATTGACATTCCAATCCTTTTCTAGAAAGCATATGGGATGTTTAGTGGATGGACTTTTAGTACTTGCGGAAAAGTCAACACGGCTGTGTTTATTAATATGATCAAACTTTACTGTTCCTTCTCCATTATGTCTATCAATCTAAAGTCAAACGTATTGCAAGTTAGAGTCAAACATTTTTACACCAACCTCTCTTTATTATTTTTAAAAGAGATAATAAATTTATGTTTGTTATTTTTTTTATATAAAAATATTTTAATCAATGATATTATTTTTTCAGTATATAAATATTTTTTTTTATTTTTTTTAAATCATGGTAGATAACTTATGATTTATCGCTTATGGCTGATAGTGGATGACTGATAGTTGATAAATTAATTTTAAAAAAATGATAGATTAAAATATTATTTAAAAAGTGTCTAGAAAATAAGTTATAAACCAGTAAAATACATATTAAACTCGTGATGAAAAGACTGTTCTCAAATTTTTTTATTTATTATCATATGAGTTTATAATCTATAAATTCTTATAAACTATAAATTTGAAATACGACTAACCAAACATAATTTAGTTATAAATTTATTTGAATATAGTATACTATACTTGTTCCCATATATAAATTTTAATTAAACTTTTTTTTTTTGGAGATTTAGTCAAATTTAATTAAAAAAATAATCAATCACATTAAAATCAATTATACAACTTTAAACTTACTTTTGATTTTTTTAAATAAAAATTAAATATACTCTTATAAATTTTTTATATAAGATTACAAGATTTTCCATAATTTCATTAAAAAATCCCAATTTTTTTATATTCCATGTTTTCATTAAATTAAATTTTCTTGATTTTTCAGATTTTCATTAAGTAAAAAACAGATATTCTTCTATCCTACATAAAAAATACAGTGATAATTGGAATACGAAATATCTTCATCATAACCAGCAATATTTATTGAGTTTAATTGATATAATAAAAGTAATGTGTACAATTATCAATTATATCATAATTTTACTTTTATGTTATATTTTTTTCTATTACATATAATATTATTTTATACTAAACTTTAATTCCTTAATTTATATTCAGTATTGTTTAGCACTATTATCCTAAATACTTTCATATTTTGTAATTATATATTAATTAGTATCATGATTATTTATTTTATTATAAATGTGTATTTAAATTGATTTATTTTCTTCATTGCATTCACAAATATAACTGAATTGTCATTTAAAATATAATTATTCTAATTACAAATTATTACATTTTAATAATTTTAAGATAATTAAAAAATATTTATTAATTATTTAATAATTTTTTATTTCCTATAGATAGATAATTTATAAATATGCAGTAAACATATGTTTTTTTTTATAATTTGTATATAATTCATACAAATATTAATTATATAATTTAATAAATGATTTATGATTAATTTCTTTTGAAATGAAAATTTATGTTCAAATCCATTTTAATTAGAAAATAGGATTAAATATAATTAATTACTTTTGAAATAAAAAATATTTTCGGTCAAATCTACAATTCAATAAATAATTTATGATTCATTCATCTCACAAATCACTTTTTCTTAATAAGTAATATATTTTTATTCATCATTCATCTTTTAAATATAAAGTTACAAAGATGTATAATCAGTATAAAAAATTTGTGCAGGCGCCTAATTTATTCCCTGATTTTTCTCATAGCTCTGTTCTCTAGTTCGTTGAAATCAGGCAATAGTATTTAATTCAATTTAATAACATTAATATTCATTATTCTTTAGACTTTTCAGGCTTGATCTGATACTAGTTTTTAGTTTTATTATTATTATATTCAAAAAGTTATTTCACACGCAACATTTATTTCTATCACTAAATGGTAGGTTCTTTTTCTCTTTCTCCTCTTAAGATATCAACACACACATACATATTCAATCAATTTTTATTGTGAATGCGTTTGATTAGTAAAAGAGTAAGCATTGGATAGAATGATTTTTTTTTTTTTGAATAATCATATATTAAATTTTTTTTTACGAATAACTATGTTTCGAAAAAAATTACGCAAATAACCATATTTCAGATGACTCTCCAAAGGAGTCATCATCTCACTTGGCACCTATACCCATTATTTAAGGGGAGGCGCCATCTCACTTGGCGCCTAGGTGCTTAGGACATGCCCTAAGCCAAGTGAGATGGCGCCTTAGTGCAATTCTAGGGCAAATTTCGCGTTTTTTTTTTCAGTCCGGTGCGTTGCGTATTCGATACAGGATCAACAAAATTGACTTTTTATTAAAAAAAATGATTACACCCATATGTATTACATTAAAAAAACAGATAAAAAAAACAGATAAATCAGTGATCCCCCGGAACTCGGTAATGACCTCCGGTTCCGCATCCCCGTCCTCGCCTTTCCCGTGCTGGATGTCGTCGCGTTTCCTGCTGTGGCAAGGTCGATGGCCCAGCGAAGTCAATGCGTTCCGGATCCATGAAATCAGTCAGATCTCCATATCTAGAAGATCCGCTTTGGTACAGTCGGTTACCCATACCCTTAAAGTTTGGTCGTGTTGGCGATGGGTGGGGTTCCATAGTGGGTCTGTAGTATTGATCGTCTGAGTACGGGGGATAGAAAGGAAATGGATCTTGGGGTGTTTGGTATTGAGGATGTTGGGTGGTTTGGTGATACTGTGGTTGATGGTAAGTTGGTTCAGTTGGTTCGTAATCTTCCGACATTCCCAGATCAGGGCTAAGGCTGGATGTTGAGGGGCCCATATTGGGATATACAGAAGACTGTGGTGGAGACTGTGGTTGGGTGTTTGTGGTTCTGTTTCGTCTGGGGGGTTGGTGGGAGGATGATGTGTGTTGGGTTTGTTGTTGGGAAAACGAGGGTTGCGCCCATTGTGTTCGTGGGTCAACCAAATACCTTGGATGAGACACGTGCATTTCAGGGTTACTAACCGACCTGTACCAAGATAAATACTGATCCGTGTGCCGCATATTACCATGATTGAGGAAAACCGAGAATTGCAAGACATGTCAGTGACGCCTCTGCCACATCTTACACCATTCTGGAGCAAAGTCTTTCTAGTTGGTAAGACCCCATTGGGCGTCGACCCTTTTGATATGCCACGAGGACAAACAAGTCGGATCACTTGGTATCTCTTGATGCATTCCGAACTGCATCTTCACACGATCGATGCGGTGCATCTCCACAACATTGAACCGTATGATTGCAGTCTTGGCGCTCCAAATTACTGCATCCTCGGGGTTTGGTTCATGGTCCAAACCCAAATATGGTCTCCAGACAAACTGCGAAAAAAATTAAATCAGGTTAATGAAAACCTAATATATAAGTAATTTAAATAAAGAAAAGTTGAAAGGTACGACGTATATCATCCGGGCCTAGGTGATCCAGCAGATTGCGGTATAGTGCGACATTGAATCTTGGATTTTTGCCGTAATCCATACCCCTCACGCAATACCTAAAGGAAATGAAAAACATTTTATTTTTAGCATATATTTGGTGAAGAGATGAATAGTAATAAATGATATAACTTGATGACTTGCTTTGTTGTGTACGGGAAAACGAAAGTTTTGTTGTTGATGGGGTTTAAGGACTCCATCCTCCACCAACCCCAGGCTTGTAGTAAAAAAGCGCAGCCATAAAATGTACATTTTTCCTTGACTGCATTTTTGCACAAGGAACTGTATAGGTGGGCTAAAACTGCAGAACCCCAACTATACTTTCTTGTTTTTTCAAAATCTCTAAGTAAATGTAAATACATAAAATTTACATTATTTCCCGTACTTTCGGGAAATAAAAAGGTTCCAAATAGTATCATTAGATAAGTTCTGGCTTTTACTACCCTGTCTTGCTCGGAGGAATTTTCGTTTAATTCCAAACTTGCATAATGATTTTTAAGCTCAGTGAGAAGTATACCCTGACCTCTCGCACCACCACCTTCAACCATATCCCTGCCCAACAATTCTTCACACTGAGAATTGGGTTGTTGAAATGACCCGTTAACGGCCTTACTGTCGACAGGGAGACCCAGTAACATGTACACATTCTCTAACGTGACGGTACATTCACCTATTGGTAGGTGAAATGTATGGGTCTCTGGCCTCCACCTTTCCAACATTACAAGAATGAACTTCGAATCAATTGTGCAGTTGGAGATCTTTATAACATGTTTGAAACCTGCGTATTCCAGATATGGTACGATAAATGGGTCGGGAGCCAGGTAGTTGTGAGACCAGATTCTTAATCTTTTGGTATCCTGAGTTAATAATATAAAATGTGTAAGATTAAGTAAGATGAACAAAGCATTACCTGAAGTATAAAAAATGTTTACCCAAAATAAAAACTTACAAATGCGGCAATGTTGTCCCTTGTGCCTCTGTGAGAATTGCCCATTGTGAGAAGAGCCATTGTTGAAAATGCCTGAGATTATGAAAGACTTAGAAAGTGTGAGAGATTATGAAAGACTTTGTAGCAGAGAGTGAGACGATTGTGGGTGTGAGAGAAATATGTTATGCTCTATATTTATAGGCAAAAAAAATTCATAGAGTAAGTGAGGTGGTAGCTGGTGCATGCATGCATGATAAGTGTCACTCTTGCAGAGTAGGCGCAGGCTAGGTGGCAGCCTTGGGGGTTACATCTCTGCATGCATGTAACGCGATTGGACATTAAGGGAGGCGCCATTGGACTTGGCGAAAGAGTTCAAAAATAAAAGGTGTCGCCATCCCCATTGGCGAATAAGAGGTGTCATGGGTTGCAGAGTAGACGCATGCTAGGTGACAGCCTTGGGGATGCCATGCCTGAATGCATGTAACACTATTGG